CCACCACTTCACAGGCATAGCTTCTGTACTTGTAAAATTTTACCTCCTTGAAAGAATTGGATTGCATAACAGCAACCTCAAACAATAAAGTCAAACACATGGCATACTTCATATACTCATGTACAAGACTAGACATTTTAGGCAAAAAAAGCAACTGGGCTGAGTTTTCCATAGATCAGTGTAACTCTTATCAATAAAGGAACCACTCCCTTCTCGGAGTAGAGTGGTCAAAGATGAGAGCTGAGACCCCTTCTACACTGCCATATAAAATCCACATTATCTGCTTTAAACTGGATTATATGGCAGTGTAGATTTACATTTTGTTGTTGTTCATTCGTTCAGTCGTCTCCGACTCTTCGTGACCTCATGGACCAGCCCACGCCATAATCCAGTTCAAATCCACATTATCTTATTTGAACTGGCAGTGTAGAAGGGGCCTGAGTCTGTCATTTAAGAACCTCTCTACTCCTACTACATTGACACTGCTTTTGGCCTTTTGAATGCCTGTATTGGAAAATAGAAATGATGGTGGTTAGGGGTGGATGGCCCCCAGAGATTGTGTTGGCACTTTTCTTCCAACTTATCCATGGGTCATATTAAAATTCATTTTTTTTGTCCCAAAATCTATCTTCTACTTATCTGTGAGGTCAACTTTTACACTTGAATATAAAATGTGCTTGTGGTAGCTACAAGCATGTTTATGTTTATGACTTTGTTTATGAAAACAAAGCACAACCTCACTTGTTCTCATTCTTTGTATCATACTCCTTCCCCACCATTTTTTAAAATAGCAAATATGTATTTATTTATTTATTTCAGATATTTGTACCCTGCCCTTCTTAACCGCTGGGGGGGGGGGCTCAGGGAGGCTTCCAGCTGGCAACGATTCGATGCCTCCATGTACACATAATAAAATACATAATAAAAACCAATAATTACATACAGTTAAAATATTAAATCAATTCAGTTGAAAATATGCTTAAATATAATAGCCTTTTGGCCTTATCTAGCCGAATTCTGTGCTTGGAGATTCCATCAAGCTTGTCCATAGCCCATTACCATAGCAATTGTCATCATTGTCATTGACATTGTCAGCATAATTACCCGAAGGCCTGGTCCTACATCCACATTTTCAACTTCTTTCTGAAGGAGAGAGGGACAATGATAACCTAATTTCCATGGGGAGTGAGTTCCACAGGTGGGGGGCCACCACTGAGAAGGCCCTGTACCTTGTCCCTGCCAAGCGTGTTTGTGACAAAGGTGGGGCTGAGAGCAGGGCCTCCCCAGAAGATCTTAAACTCCGAGGTGGGATGTAGAAGGAGATACATTTGGCCAGATATGCTGGGCCAGAACCGTATAGGTTTTTATAGGTCAAAACCAGCACTTTGTAGCATTAGAATCTGTACATAAACATATCACGTTTGTTGCTCACATGTTACATGCCAAATTATATTAGTAAGGAAGGACCTCTTGACACAGGATGGTGGAATCACTGCAGATCGTGGTGAATCTGGCAATGCCCATCAGATGGCATGGGGAACCTGTCACCCCACACCCTGCATCACCTGGCTTACTGGCAAGACAATACCATGGGGGGGGAGCATCAACCATATTGATCCCCCCCACACACACACACACTTCTGGTGCAACACAAGAAGCCTCCCATGTTGCTGTCACAGCAACATATACTAATTATGTGCTATTTTACCCATGGAACCCTGCTGGAAGTTCCTCTGCATCGTGGTATGGGAGTTGGCGGGCTCTGTGGCTGAATCGGCATATGCCACCAAAGTAAACCCCAACTGATGATGTTGTAAGGCACCATCAGAATAAACCCAATGAATAAGGAGTTGGGTGCTATGGGAGGCTAGGGGACATTGGGAGAAGGATTCAAAACTGAAATTATGCAGCTCTCCTGAATGGAAACTTCTAGTCCTGTCCAGTGTATGGTTGGAAGTGCTGGGAACTTTATTGCCAACATATCCAAAGGGCTGCATGATTCCAACTTTAAGGAAGGAGAAAGAAAGACTAATTATACAGACACTCGTCCTGAAAAGAAATAATGAAGTCCATAGCCTTCAACTGTGCCGATTTGGCAAGTACGGTTGCAATTAATTCTCTGTCATCTCAAATTTTAACTGCTTCAAAAATGTATCAGCTTCTCGCTCCTCCTTGCCCTGTCACTCTTTTTCCTCAGCTTACTTCCATTGCTGCAAACAGAGGGTGCTTCCAGGTTTTTAGTCAGGGACAAAACAAACCTGGGCCCAAGAAGAGGTCCACATACAGAGCTGTTGGTCCCAGGATTTCTGCCTCCATCGTCCACACTTGCTGTTTTGTGCTGGGATTTTGCAGCCCTCAAGATGGCTGCTGCGAGACATCCACCGGAAATTTCGGTGCTTTAAAAAAACCTTAAAATGCAAATATGTGAATCATTGTATAAGTTCTGTTCCTGGGTTCTAGAGGCAGTATAGCCATCTGTGCAGACAAGTTTGGTCATGTACTTATGCCTGGGAAGCACGGGGTTATGTTCCTGGGTTATACACATGTGTTCCTCATTGCTTTATCATAAAAACATGGGGAAAGTTGATTACATGGCAAAATCTTTGTTTGTGTGTCACAAACTTCATTAAATGGGTGGAGGACAAAGTTTGTCTTCTCAGAATAAAGTTTTCACCCTCTAGTCAACGGTTGCCATGCTTTTAGGATACAGTCAGTCAGGAACAGACATGTATAACCCAGGAACAAACAAAAATAAAAAAATCCCATGTTTTCTGAGTGTAGTAACATACAGACATCCGAAGATACACATTTTTCAGCCAAGGTAATTCCTGCAATTGAAAATCTCCTGTATTTAGCTTTTTAGCACTTTGTAGTGATTCCTCCCATGTTTTCAGGGGATGTTGTTTGGCCACCCTTCATTTTGAACCAGGAGCTCTTGGAATAAAGGTACTATGTGGATGGGCCCTGAGTTCAAAGCACAGAAATAGTTTGCCTTCAATTAACTCAACAGAGAAGGGGCACCTTGCTCTTCCCTGTAGGCTCAGGCAAAAGCAAACAGTTGAAGTTTCTTTTAGCCTGTCTCTTCTTCCTCATCAATAAGATTTGTTCTCTTGACACAATCTGATGTTGCTTGGCAACACATTTTCACCTGGGAAATGTGGGAGAATACAAAAGTCTTTTTGAGAAACACTTGACTACAGTTTACTTGAAGTATATGGTATGGGCCTTTGAATTTTTAGTCAGACTTATGTCAACCTGGTTAAACGGATCTCACACTCAATAAATATGAACACAGGATTTATTAGGACTCCATTCCATTCCTTGCTGTAATATAAACAGTAGCAGGAAAATAAAACAGCCTGTATGGGATGGATGGGAGTATGGGGTTATATAGGTAATTTATATCCTGTAGAAGTAGAAATAAATTATCAGTAGTACCATTCAATGTAAAAAAAATAGGTTTAAGGCATCAGAATGGTGCTTGAAGGATATGTTTTTCTTATGCTAAGGATACATTTCAAATGTTCCAGGTAGGCAGCTTTGTAAGGCTGTTATTGTAAACATAATAGAGACTCCTCTGGCACTTTGAAAGCTGATTGTTTATTTATTTATTTGGTATAAGCTTTTGGAGCTAACAATAAGCTAATTTTTTCTGCTGCCTGAGGTAAAAGAAGTACCATTACTGCATCCATCTTGGAGATGTCTTGAATTACTGCCCATCACCTTCTTGTTCTTTTTTTCCCCTAAGGCTTAGTTATTTCAGCCAACTTTGAGCAAACTGGTAGCAATGAGGAATTGTTAACTCTTCAGATGCTCCAGAACTGCTTTGACATCATAAGGTTGGTGTTACTTTGCTCCATTGTCTTCCCAATGGAGCAAACTATAATACTGTAGCTAAAATACCAGGACATTTGACAAAATCAGTAACTACAAAAAACTGGCGGCAACAAAAACAACTGCATGCAATTGTAGCCCATCCAGAGGAAACCTTGTGATATGAAGTGTCATTGTAATTGGATAATAATAACAACTCTGATCGGAATGCGTGCACCTTAGAAGGTTCAAAAAGTAAATTAATAGAGAGTTTTCACCTTATAATCATATTGTTGCAGTACATGTAAGCTGGGCTTATGAAAAGTGTTTCTATGGATCCAAACTACAGGGTTTGTTTTTTTTAGCAAACTATAATATATTTCTACCAAAACACTACACAAAACAATAGACAATCATTGTAATGTTACCCTCAATTATCACCAAAAGCAGTTTGTTCTATGATCCAGAAAAGAGGGGAAACTAAATAATCTGTCACTCAAGACTGTAGGCTTGAATAATACTCAAAGATACCAGATCTGGGTTTAAACACATTGCATGTAACTTTTATTAAGCATTTAGAAATTGTACAGCAGCTTGGTGCCAAGAAGCACATTCATTCTCTCTCTCTTTCAATCATCCTTATACTCATAACATACTCCTCCTGAAGCACTGATCAGGTCCTTCATAGAAGCAACAGGTGAGGATGCAACGCTGGTACCTGGCACTGCTTTTGGTTATACCTGGTGCAGATTGCACCCCTCCAAATCATGCTAGTGATGTCCCTGGCTCCAGGAGACAAAAGCCAATATCAGATGATGCATGAAATGGCAGAACTACACTATCTTCCTGCAGGAGTCACCTTCTTTCCAAAACCCACACCTGCCCACCTTCATCCAAGGAGGTGTGTGGGGGCAAGAATGTCTGAGAAACCTTTTGGCTATATTAATATAGCTAGACACAGAATGACAACGCCATCTCATACATGTGGCCCATCCTTTGGGATTGATTCTGCATTGTATTATTTTGTATTGTTTTATTGTATTTTTATGTTTTTATTTATTTAATTGTGATGTTTTGTTTTGTTTTGTTGTTCTGGTTTTATTTTGATGTAATGTACTGTTGAGCTTGGCCTCATGGAAGCCACCCGATTCCCTTTTGGGAAGATGGTGGCGGAGTGATGATGATGATGATGATGATGATGATGATGATTATTATTATTACCTTCCTGAACCTTTGGAAGACACTCATTGGAAGGACTTTTGTTCATTGCCACTAGGGAGAAACAAAATACCAATTGTGCAATGGCCAATACAAAGATTAAGATGGACTCATGTGGCAATGCTAAGATGACAGATAAACGCTTTCTTGAAGAACATAGAAAACTGTTTCTCAGTCAACCCGTTAACTGTCTATTTTCAGTGAGACTTTAGTTGGACATTTGGGCTTTCATATAGTTGTTATATCAGCTCATTAGCCTTTGCAAATATTAGCCAATATTATATGTAATATTTTTCTCTTAACCAGCACCTGAGTAAAGAGTGATATCATATGTATGCCTGCATAGGGTTCTCTTTGGCATAAAAAGAACATTGAACAAGAAATATCTGTCAATCTGATCTAATTCAGCTCTTCTTATGGCTTCTTTGCCATGGATATGCTATTAAAACAAGGGTTACAGCATATTTATTTTAATGTTGCTGCATTATATAGTTTATTTTCCATTTGACAAAATAAACCTGTAGCAGAACATAGTTTGTTTGTGACAAGATATATTTATATTTGTAAATTTTCTGTGTCTCTCTCTAAAGGAAAAAAACCCCTTATGTTGAACAGATCACTGGAAAACAACATAAATCTGAACATGCTGTATGGAAAGATACTACCACAGCTAGTGGCAGTATTTCTCTTCAAAAAAACAAAAGCAATTACATCCTTGTTACATTTCCCTTCAGCTATATTGCAATAATTATTTGGGACTTACTTTTCCCAAACACTGCATGACTACATGTTTATAAGCTATCTGTTTAAAATTATTAGCTATACAGTAAAATTAAACTTCTACATTTGCCAACTAAATGAATTTGGAAGGAAGAGCAAAGTATTTTAATAGTTTTGTTGTGGTCTCTATTGACTTCACTTTCTAATCTTTATTAAATTTCTTATTGAACATTAATGTCTTTGGCAGCCATCATGATAGAAGAATAAGTCACTTTGGGTCCTGTGAGGGAGAAAAGCAGGATATAAATAAAGATATTATTATTATTGTTATTATTATTATTATTATTATTATTATTATTTAAATATTTCACAGACCATTATTAATATGTCAAGTCTATTTGTTCCAAACCAATTTGTTCATTAACAAATTCCATGGCCTCCATAAAAATTTATGATCTTTTTAGAAGCCACACATTTCATAGAGTCAAAAGTGAACCAGTAGGCTACTTCAACCTAAGGGCCAACTACTCTCTACCCAACATCCAGAATTTTACCAACAGGGTGACCATATTCTGTATGTAACCTCAGTATCCATTTTTATGATCTCTGATGCCACCATCACTCCCCCAACGTCACTGCAATTTCCAAGTCCATGTTGCCCCCAAATGAAACAAAACACCCCAAAATATATGAAAACATATAAAAATATACCCACTGATGCCACATACTGCCCTCACATACTTCTATTTTTCTTTACAGGCCCTCTCAAAATGGTAACAGGAGGTGATGTGACAAGGGCCATGTCTACACAGAGTGTATAATGTCAGATAACAGTTAACAGAGGCAGAAACAAAGCAAACCTGCACCTGATCATATGACAAGCACAAGAACCAAGCTGAGAACTCAGTGGTGCTCATATGCTCTGGAGAGTTTGGCTCTGACTCAGTTCCAGGATCTGCAGTATCCATAGCCCCATGGCTCCTTCCCATCCCTTAATCAATTTCACTATGTGATGTGGTTTACACTTCTGTGTATTAAATTGCATTGGGCGGCCTAATTCAGAGTATCTTGTGATTTTGTGCAGAGAAATAATCCACATATGTGCTATATTAACATCTGAGTAGTATCATTTTAATGCATCTGTGACATTCATGTAAAAACTGCTCCTAAATTTAAAGTGAATTTCCAAAACCCACACCTGTTTCCTCACTCTGCAGTGTCTCAGATACACATCCGCTGAGGTGATGCCATAATGAAAAGGGAGGGTTTGGGGAGATGGCATCGTCAGACATAACTATGAAAACTGTGTTCTATCACTATAGTTACATCTGATGATACAGGATATTGTCCACTATTTTTAACTTTGCATGCTGTAAACATTTTAATTTAAATTTATTTTACTTTCTGCAAGCTACCTAGAATTGCAGACTGAGAAAATGGAAGAAGAAGAGGAGGAGGAGGGAGAGGAAGAGGAAGAGGAAGAGGAAGAGGAAGAAGAAGAAGAAGAAGAAGAAGAAGAAGAAGAACAACAACAACAACAACAACAACAACAACAGCAACAACAACAACAACAACATGACAAAATTAAATACTGGACATATATGTTAGGTTAACAGTTCTCGGTAATACAAAAAGTAGCAAAAATGTTTCTTCCTAAGTGTTTACAAAGCAAAGCAACATTTGCAGAGGAAGATGGGGTGGGTGCTCCAAGAACATCTCTTGCAAATAATTTAAGAGGTTTTAAGCATTAGACACTAATTATGCAGAATAGGCAAGCTCTGGCAGGTAGTGGTGATAATTATAAGATGGAACTAATTTAAAATGCTGAGTCCTGAGGGATATGGTTTTGTGATACGGCATAATTATACTTCCTTCACATGAAAGTGCAGTATTCATTTCCCAGAGCACTCTGCCAAACATAAATATCCTTACAAGGTCTGATGTCTTTAGTGAAATCCACAGACAGGTTCTATAAAACCAAAATGTATTGGGGAAAAAATCCAGCCTTGCAAAAACAGCTCCTCTTCCAATTCTATGTAGGAGAAGTGGGGGGAGTTGGGACATATGTGCCACCCTAGTTTCTCTGTGACTTTGAAGAAAAATGTCAACAGAGCTAGAACCAAACTGATCAAAATTCCATGGTTTGTGCACTTTTGTACAAAGCACCTCAATGAAAATACTGTCTCCCTGCAAACATTCTTTATCAACTTGATGCAGAACTTAGAAAAAAATCATTACAAATAATAGAATCTCCTGGTCATGTAGACATGATGTCAAGGTGATTTGTAGTAGAACAAAACACTTTTCTGTGTCATGGTGAAAAGGGTAACAATAACACATGAAACACTGTCTTCCCTCCATGCTCACTGTTTTGTCATGCCAGAAGAGGACTATCGTTAGCAATGTCAGCTAAGGATAGGTCCATGCTTTTATATATATCATTACAATTGAACCCCAGCCAGAACTATATTCCTATTTAAGGAATATTGGAAACTCTTCAATGAGCCACTGGATGCCTGTAGAAAGCATACAAGTATCATCTGAAAGGAACAGCCATTGTGCTGTTATTGTATACCTTCAAGACATTTTTGACTTGAATCCAAGGCATACCTGTCACAGTATTTGTGTGCCAAGATTTCTTCAGCAGGGTTTGCTTTTGCCTTCCTTTGAGCTGAAGCCCAAAACAAATGGAGGGCCACATGTTGTGTAGGCCTGGTCTCGTCCAATGCTCAAGCCACTACACTATGTTGGCTCTCCAGTAAGTTCTATTAACACAATTAGAATGGATTCAACTATTGTTTGAAAGGAATGAAGTTTTCCAATAGCATATATTCAAAGTCAGAATCTAGATGTATTATTTTCTAGATTCCATAAATATCTGCAATAAAATTCTGAGGATCTGTTCCCAGTCAGAGTTGAATATATTGGAGTAGATTTAAAAAACAGTCTAACTCAATATAAGGCATCATGCTCCATTCGTATGCAATGGAAGGCAGGAAAATGTTCTCACATCAGCAACTACATAGAAAGAAGATATGTGCTAGGCTTATTTCTCTTCAGTGAAATACTTCCTGCAGTGGGAGAAAATAATTTGTTCAGTTTTCTCTCCACTGAATAGTTTTTAAAACTGTTCTTGAAATGGAGAGAAGGTGTTCCAATCAGAGACTCAGCATTTTACCATCCCCTATGCAGCCAAGAGAGCACAGAGGGCCATTATGTGTAGCCATGTTGGGAGGGGAGGCAAAGTGAGGATCATCCAGTTAGGTTCTGATAGACCAGGCACCCAGGCCCACTGGCCAGATGTGACCCCTTGGGCTCTTTCCTCCAGCCCTCCTCTGTCTCACCATCCTCTCAGCATGAGGACACTGCAACCTGCCACATCCCCGTGCTGAGAGGAGAGTCGAGGCAGAGAAGTGCAGCTTCCTGTCCTCTCAGCATGAAGATGCAGTTGCTCGCCACATCCCCATGCTGGTGCAGTCACATGTGGTTGCAGAGAACTCATGGCAGCCCTATGTGTCTCACCATCCTCTCATTATGAGGTATGCAGAAGCAGTCACACACAGCTGCCCAGGGTTCTCATGAGAGCCCTGGGCAGCTGCATATCAAATCCTCCTCTCAGCCGATGTCCTTCTGCTGAGAGGAGATTTCTGTGGACACATGTGTCAAACCCTCCCACCCCCACATATCTAATGACCCCCCCCCAATTCATCTACACACATACACACATGCACCAATCACCTCCTGACCCACCATCGATAAGGTAGATCACATTCCTTTGCTATAAACAACAACAGTATATCGTCAACCTGCATTTGGATTCAACATTAATCTCTTTTGATGTACAGCAAAAGTATATTCTATCTCTCTGTTTCTGATAGCTGAGTAAGACACCAGGTAATATAAAAGTTTTTCTTCAAAAGAAACTAATTGAAGGCTTCCAGATCCCACAGGAAATGAAAGCAAAAAAAGAGTATTTCCAGACAGAAAAGCCTGAAATTAGGCTTTTGTGTTATTCCTTTTCTTTTGGCAAGGAATCGACTTTCCCATCTGAACAAAGTGCATCCAAACGGTACATTACTCCCTATCTGTCATTTCTATATAAACAAGCATTCACCTATTTTTGGAACTGGAAAAGTCATTGTTCAGAGGCTATAATCAAGTGTTCAACTAAAACAATGCAGCTCATAAGCATAGCATAAAATGGAGGTAAACACTAATTACAGTCATTTTCTAGTTTGCTGGGAGTTGGCTGAGTTTTCTCCTCTGGTATTTCTGGACCCCAACTCTTACAAAAATAGAAGCAAATTTCAAAAAGCCATTAATTACCACCCTCAGTCAATTTTGGATTTGGCATAGAAAAAGAACGTCCTCAGTTCATGTAATGTTTATGCATGCAAAACACAACTTGAATCTACAGCGTCCATCCTCTATTCTTCCGTGAAGCTGAAGCATACCACTGAAAAAAGGCTATTTCTTCTAGGACATCTCTTTCTAGGAAAGTTAAATGGGAGTATTAGGAGTCAATGAGGAGAATATCTGACTTAGAATGGTGGGTTTTTTGGAAGTTTGGTTCAGTTGTCCTGTTCATACTTGAGATGAGATGTTGATGTTGATGTTGATGATGATGATGATGATGATGGCTGGCATTCAGTACTGAATTTATGGATTTGTAGCCTGGAGATATGGTTTTACATGGATCTATGCCCTATATTCAATAAGATTATGTATGTAGTCATACTGTAAAACAATGTAAATGTCATGTCAGTCCAGTTTAAGAGTCAGCTACCACTTTGAGTTTTCAATCTGAATACAAGGAGGAGGAAAATGTCTCCAGTTTCATCCCATCAGCATGCACTTCTGAAACAATCAGAAGCAGGGATTCTGTTGCAGTTGTTTTTCATAGCTTCACTTGCTGGTAGCAGATATGAAAATATAATTCTTGGTATCTCCCAGTTGGAAGTTTCATCCAGTCGCTGGCTCTTATGGTGGTCTGAAGGTTCATACCAGGAGATGTAACTTAGTTACCAAGATTCAACTAAGCCAGTGTAGTATATGATGGTCTAAACCATCATCTTCATCACCACCATCACCATCATCATTTTGCTGTTGGTGGTTTTCATGATGATGAGTTGATAAATCTGTTTATAAAATCATAGAATAGAAAAAGACTGCAAGTGCTATCCAATCCAAATCCAATGCAAGCACACAAAATCGAAGCATTCTCAACGGATGATAATTTGGTCTCTGATTAAAAAGCTCCAAAGGAGAAGACTCCACTACACTATGAAACTATCAAACAGCTCTTAGTGGGTTGCTGTAGGTTTTTCGAGCTATATGGCCATGTTCTCGAAGCATTCTCTCCTGATGTTTCGCCTGCATCTATGGCAAGCATCCTCAGAGATGGTGAGGTCTGTTGGAACTAAGAAAAATTGGTTTTATATATCTGTGGAATGTCTTGTCTGTTGGAGCTAGGTGTGAATGTTTCAACTGACGACCTTGATTAGCATTTGATGGCCTGGTAGTTTGTTTGTTTTGTGTGTGTGTGTGTGTGTGTGGCTTGTTAGTACCTGGGGGGATCTTTTGTTGAGAGGTGATTAGCTGTCCCTGATTGTTTCCTCTCTGTTGTTTTGCTGTTGTAATTTTAGAGGGTTTTTTAAATACTGGTAGCCAGAATTCGTTCAATTTCATGGTTTCCTCCTTTCTGTTGAAATTGTCCACATGCTTGTGGATTTCAATGGCTTCTCTGTGCAGTCTGACATGGTGGTTGTTAGAGTGGTCCAGCATTTCTGTGTTTTCAGATAATATGCTGTGTCCAGGTTGGTTCATCAGGTGCTCTGCTATGGCTGATTTCTCTGGTTGAAGTGGTCTACAGTGCCTTTCATGTTCCTTGATTCATGTTTGGGCACTGCGTTTGATGGTCCCTATGTAGACTTGTCCACAGCTGCATGGTATATGGTAGACTCCTGCAGAAGTGAGAAGATCCCTCTTGTAGTTTTAGACTAAACTATAAAGGAAAAAGTCAAGGTGCTGAAGCCTGATAGATTAAAACTGATCGAATTTGTTTCAACACTTCAAAATCATGCAGCCTGTGGATTTATGTATATAAAACTAAGTTTTAATAAACATTCATGAATGGCAGCTATTTTAGTACCAATATCTAATGGGACAGTAATATCCTCCAGTCACAACTGAACAGGTGAATTGCAACTGAAAAATGCCTTGCATATATTTTGGATATTGACATCAGTGAAAGTATTACTTTGTGGCATTCAGATTGCATTTAAATTTTTCAGTGTGCTTCACATATCCTATGGCAATAATATTTACAATAACCCTGTATGCTAAATCACCAGGCTGGAAGACGGGTGTTTGGGTCAACTGAGCTGCGAGGAACAATCATTTACCTGAGCCAACTTGAAGATAGTATGATAGTTGATAACTGAATGCAGCCTATGATCAATAAATAACGACTGTGACAAAGACTTGCAACAGGGGTCTATACAGCTGAGCAAAACTCTTTCCCCCGTTCTCTTTTTTAGAGATGGTGAAATATAGACAATAACTCTCTCCCAGAGCATAAAACAGTGTCTGACATGTAGTCAAAAAGAATTGTGATACCAAAGCATAGATAAGAAAAGTCAGGAAAAGTAATAGGAAAGAGAAGTAGGAGTTTTAGAGGTAGTGAAAGTGTATGGGGAAGCTCAACCCTTAAGGGACTGGGAATGAATCCTTCAATAGCTTCTTTGGGAGCAAAATCTTTTCCCAGAGAACACAGCAATACAATGTTTATAGCTCCACTATATTAAAATGTTTTTGTGGGCTGCATCATTAAAATGATAAATGTCTAAAAGAAATACATCCAACACACGTATTCTTCTACAAGTTTAATGAAATGCTAATGTAATGGTTATAAATACATGGAATTATAAATGACAGATCTTAGATAATAGTTTCCAACTGCTACACCCTGTCACATAAACTTTGATGAAGCACCTTCATAATGAGCCTACCTTCCTATTAGATTACAAAGCCCCTTTCATAGCTTATGTCACTTCAGCAGTGTCCCCGATGATCAATAAATATCTACTAAGACAAGCATAAGCATTTTATAGGCACCGAGTGCAAAGGCAATGGGTCAGATGAAGGATCCACTGGTTTGGAAAGGGAAGTTTATAGATCAAATTAGGAGAGAACAGGGCTTATAAACATCACTTAAATATATTGTGGCTTTCTTAAACATTTTAATGACATTTTTCAAAGGTTATCATAATGCAACACATTATGCAGTTTAATTATTTGTTTGTTATAATTACCTGAAAATAAGCTGATGGTGAAGTATCCACACTCCTTCTCCCAATTCTATCCTCAGAACAATCTGTTGAAGTGTTAGGCAGAGGCAGAATGATTGTTACATGGTCACTCAAACGAATGCTATAAATCAGTAGCAACTGTATTCACTCATGTCCTCATCCAGTACTATAACAAGGTAAAGGATTCCCCTTGACATTAAGACTAGTTGTGTCCAACTCGGGGGAGGGGGGGGTGCTCATCTCCATTTCTAAGCTGAAGAGTCAGTGTTGTCCATAGATGCCTCCAAGGTCATGTGGCTAGCATGACTGCATGGAGTGCCATTAACTTTCCACTGAAGTGGTACCTATTGATCTACTCACATTTGCATGTTTTCGAACTGCTAGGTTGGCAGAAGCTGGTGCTAACAGCGGGGGTTCACTCCGCTCCCCGGATTTGAACTGCTGACCAATCAGCAAAATCAGAAGCTCGGTGGTTTAACCCGCTGTGCTACCCAGGGCTCCTATCCAGTACTATAACTAAAAGCAAAGAAACCATTATCTCAGCCACCCATATGAACAATTTGGGAGTTTGGAACATTTCAGATTTCTGAATTCCAGAGAACAGATGCTAAACTTATATTATATAATTGTTATCCAGTACTATAACGATTATATAATACAAGTAAAATATAAGTTGAGCATCTATTCTCTGGAATTTAGAAATCTGAAATGTTCCAAACTCCCAAATTGTCCATGTGGGTGGCTGAGATAGTGGCTTCTTTGCTTTTAGTTATAGTACTGGATAGAAGCCCCAGGTGGCACAGTGGGTTAAACTCCTGAGCTGCTGATCTTGCTGACCAAAAGGCCGGTGGTGGCTGAGATAGTGGCTTCTTGCTTTCAGATCTTTCAACATACACAAACTTTGTTTCTTGCAAAAAATATATTTAAAATATTCAGTTGTGTGTATAAGATGCATATGAAACATAAATAAACTTTGTGTTTAGATCTGAGTCCCTTCTGCTATGCATAAATATAGATATTCCAAAATCTGAAACAAATACAAAAATCTAAACATTTCTGACCTCAAGCATTTCAGATAACATGTTTTAGTAATATGAACACTATACCACTTGACCAGACATAGCTCTAATATCATGGGGCATTTGATGGACAGGACTGGAATCTACTCTTTCAGAGAACGGCTAATAAAAGTAAACAGAATGATGTGAGGAATGCAACTAATGGTATGGAATTGGATTTTTGTAAGAAAAGGTTTATGTGACGTGAAAAGAGCAAAAGAACTCTTTGTCAGTTACAGGATACTTAGCTGCAGATCTGGATAATAATTAATTAGTCAGTGGGTTGCTGTGAGTTTTCCGAGCTGTATGACCATGTTCCAGAAGCAGTCTCTCCTGACATTTCACCCACATCTATGGCAGGCATCCTCAGAGTTTTGTCAGATAAGAAAATATAAGTAAGAAAGAATATGGTGCAAGACTTCAAGATAAGGTTAGGCAAGAATACAAATGTAACTAAGAGAATTGGAAAGAAGAACTGCCCTGGCAATGTTATTTGAAATAAACATTATTTTCTATTTCATGCTGATCCATTGTATGAACCTTTTTCCCCGGAAAACATGCTGAATCCCAGTCCCATATTTACGCAGATACAAATATACACATGTTATTGCCCTTTAGATAATCCAGAGGTGGGCTCTAAAGAAGGATTAAGACAGGACAACTGCTCCAGAGTAAGAAATAATCTTGCCTCTATCACAAAGCAATTCATCTCCCACGCAAGAGCAGAGAGAGGCTACAATTAAAGAAAATTGCATTAACTTGGTTATTTGCTGTGCTCTCCATCTAAGCATTGGCACAAAGGCAGGCGGAAGTAGAACCATGATGATTTATTAATAATACTACCTCTTTAGCTCCTTGGAAAAAAACTCTCCAAGTCCCTCAGATGTACAGAATCTCTTTTGTTCTTACCTAGCCTTTCTAGCTAGATTCTTACATATCTCCTTTTCAGTGTGGTTCATTTTTTTCCTCATTTGCAACCAAATGCAAATATTTCTTCTTAATGTAGTTGCCATTTTGAGAATGACAGTGAATATGTATGTCCTCCCACTGGAAATACATGATTTCAAATATATATGTCATGTAAGTATATAAATCTTTGCTTATTTCATTCTCAAAGAAAAGGATTAAGAATTTTAGTTTATTCCCCTGCTGGGAGATAATGAAAGTTTCCTGCAGTTTTCTGCATTATGCAACTTTTTTTCTGGAAAGTTCATTCCTGAAATATCTTTGTTTTTTTCACCAAAAATATTGTTTTACCCTCTTTATTTGGGATTAAGGTGGAATTAACTTTATAAGGTTGAAGGTGACATTATCCAGGTTTATATGCTTCCATCTTTGCAGAAATCTCCTATAAATGTTTAACATAAATCCCATTGTTAGTCCCAAGGAACTGAATCAATGGAAACTTAGTCAATACTTATATAAATTCTGAAAAAATGTAGTAATAATATGGATGGTCTGACACTCTAGGATTGCACCAGTACCTCGGATTCAGATATATTCCTATAGCTGTCCGTGCTGCAACTAGTATCCACAGGTGTCCTCAGCAAATCCCTGCAAATGATATCCTAGAAGAATCTCCCACTACTATAACACAGTGGTTGGACACTTTGTCCAATAACAAAAAGTGGGACATTGATGTTGCACACTCAAGTAAAAAATTCTGACCTCTCCATTGGAGAAAAGGGAGAACAGGCACACAGAGGTCCATCATGTCTAAGACCAAAAACAGATTAAAGGCCCTCCCTACATACCAGCTGCCATTGTCTTGGCCTTAGGAGGAAAGAAGGAGATGCAGGGACAGCTCCATCATGCCTAGACCCAAAACACAAGAAATGACCTCCCTCCATCCCAACTTCCACTGCGCTGGACTTGGATGGGAGATGGGGGGAGGCACAGCTGGGAGAGCTTCTGCTCTGGGGTGCACCCATCCAAGGGAAGACCCATGGAAAATGGATTCCCAGTGGTTATAGAGACCAGAAGGAAGTGAAAAAAAATCAAGTGCACAAATGTGACCCATCCCTTCATTAGCTATGTGCACAATCAGGTGGCTCAAAGAGAAGATCTACTCTCCCAAACCATTCTCAGCCTTCCTATCTTTTCTTAGCCTCAAAATGCCATACTAAAGTTTAAAAAGCATAAAATAAAGCCACTAAATATAAATTAACCAGAGAATCTTTTATCAGCCGCCCCAAGACTGTGAAATGACCTGCCAGAAGAGCCCCAAATTTAAGAGACAATGGAAGACCTATCTCTTTTGTCAGGTCTACCCAGTCAACTATGAATTTTAAAATCATGTATTGTGTTTACTGTATATTTTAACCTTTGTTCTGTGTATTTTAATATATGTATTTCATAGCAATAAATTTTAATATATGTCTTTTACATAATGTTTTATAATGATGTGTTTTTAACTGTGTTGTGCCCCACCTTGAGCCTCAAGGAGAGGCAAGTAAGAAATAAAAATGATGATGATGATGCTACTTGCCAATTGTTAAGACTTGGCCATGATCCCAGTAAGGGCTCCCAAATCCATCTGCCTGAAGGTAGAGGCCAAATTCATTGCATTCACATCATTAGAACACAAGAATGGATTTTGATGTATATTAAATAAAATATGACTGTCATATAGATTACTGTGTTTTTTAATGAAATAACAAAGAAAAAACCCTACCCAGCAAATGTTTCTAACCCAAATTGTGCTGGGATGTCTGCCAGGAGTTGCATTCGTAGATAAAAAACACTATACAGGGGGACATCTAGCTGAAATACAAGGCATAACAACTACTACTCTTCTCAGCCTAAAGTTGCAAGAGGAAATAACGCTATATTGCATATACGCAATTTGTAATGAAAAGGAGTATGTTCAGGATCTGTTGAAGACAAAATTGAGCCCAGAATGTTTGATCATAAGACAGACTCTCTAACAGGGCTTCTGTTCCAAATGAGGACACACCAAGGGAAAGAAATCACACACTATAGTAAGGAAACCTACCAGTAATCCAGAATGGTGGATTAGAAATGCCAAAACCTAATCCCGACTCTTGTGATGAGTAGCACCAAAGCCTAAGAAATGGCTAAACACATATAATAATGAGAAGCCTCCTGTACTGTCTGAGTTCCTCACAATGGTGTGGATCTATATGTGTGTATGTAACTGCTCTAAACCTGTTCTGAGAAGGTTCCATGTAGATTTTTTTCTTCCTGCCCTGAAACCACATCGCACATTTATAGTTTTGTGATACCATTTTACCTATCAAAGCCCTATCCTATTTAATTTGAAATTTGTAGATTGAATTCTCTTATGTATTTCCCTGACCTACAACAGTGAAACTCTTTGAAAGAATATTCAAAATATTTAAAAAATTTGGGAAGTGTAGCAATGCTGACAGATAAACAAAATCCAAAATACATTCAGGCAGTCCCCAAGTTACAGACAAGATAGATTCTGTAGGTTTGAGGTGAATTTGTATGTAAGTCAGAACAGGTACACACACACACACATATATATATATACAGAAGATCCCATCTGAACATTAGAAAGAACTTCCTAACTATAAGAGCTGTGCAGTAGTGGAACTCTCTGCCCCAGAGTGCGGTGGAGCCTCCTTCTTTGTGTTAATTTTATGGAGCCAATCAAAATACGCAAAATAACCTACATTCTAGTAATTTTTGAAGATCACAAAGTCATCAGACAAAGAAAGCTTTTAAAAACATTATGCAGGCTAAGGTGAAAATTAAGAGAGCATTATTGGAGTCATAGAAGCCTGCGGAACTTAACTTTTTTGCATTTGGTTGTTGCAACATTTTTGTACTTGTAGAAAATGAGGATTTTGTTATTGCCCTTCACTTTGAAAGAGACTGTAGGATCTACATCAAAATGGTAATCAGTATGCTGGAGAATGAGAGACAAGAGACTCCCTGCTTCCCTAACCAGCTGACTATAAAAAGAGAATAAAGATTTGCCATCCTCTTTCACCCCATCAGCCATGTTGCAGTGAAACTGAACTGGTAACATTCCAAGGGGAAAAATAAACTATACTTGACCTCAAGGTAAGAGGTAATCATTACATTCTCATCTACACACTGCTGGAGTAAGATGACAAGAAGCAGCATCAGAGTGGAAAAAAACACCAGATTAAATATTTGGAAAGGGGATAAACAAAAAACCCAGCAAGACCACCCAGCTGCACTCACAATAAAATCATAAATCGTGCTCATATACACGAAATGGGGAAAGATGAGCCTGTAAAGAATAAAAAAAGATTCTGTGTACTTTGAAAACACTTGAACCATTAAGAAATGGCTATGCCAGTGACTTACAAAAGATCTTTTTAAAGTCCCACAGTGCAGCATTTTAGTTTTCTATAATGTGTTTTTTTATACGTAAATCATACCCAGTTTGACTGTTGAGCCACTCAGAAAAATATGTTGATCATACCATATCACCCATTATCTAGTACTTTTCCATTTAATTTGACAAAAAGCCTTGATAACACCGGGTAGCACTTATACCGTCACTGCTGAACTCTGGATGTGCATCTCTAAAACATTTAGAAAATTCCTTTTATTTATATTCTTGATTTTCAAAATGTATCCAGTACTCAAAGGCTTCTTTGGATTTTTATAAAATAAAAGGGGAAAAGAGCTAAAAAGCCCTTCTAGAAGACCAAAAACATCTTGAAAAACAAACAGAACTAAATTAGCAAAGGTCCTCATGTCAAGGAGCGAACAAAAACAGCAGAGAGAAAAACAGGCAGGGACATCTAATCACCTTTCAAGAAGAGTTTGCTCCAGGCACGGTCAGCCCATTGTATGCTAATCAAGGTGGTCAGTTGAAAGATTCACACCTAGCCCAACTTACAAAAGCCCTTTGTCTCACCCTGGTCATTCCACAGATATATAAACCCCTTTTTTTCCCAGTTCCAGCAGACCTCACCTCTGAGGATGCTTGCCATAGATGCAGGCGAAACGTCAGGAGAAATGCCTCTAGAACATGGCCATATAGCCCGAAAAAACCCACAAGAACTGAAAAATAATGTTGACAGAGAATATCTTTACAGACAAAATATAAGTCTTGTTCTTTGTAAAATAGTCCAGATACAAGGGTGGAATGAACTACGATGGCAACTATTAAGTCAAGGGTGTTGTTTTGTTGTTGTTGCTGCTGCTGCTGCTGCTGCTGCTCTTGCTGTTATTGTGTTATGAACCCAAATGGTTCCTGTTCTTTTAATGCAGAGTGTTCAAGGAATAGTAAAGCAGTTTAGATCAATGAAACACTTCAGAGACCAAATTTGGTTTTAACACTTTTCATGTAACATTTATTGAAATGCAGTCATCTTAAAATCACATCAGAATCACATCAAGAGAGAGCTCTCATCCATTCATCTCAGATATTCCAGTATACTCACAAACAGGCCTCTTGGAGAAAGGTGATCAGTCTTTTCAAGAGGGTTGGATGCTGTAGTTGCTGCAGTTCCTGAACAAGAACCATTTGGATTCATAACAATTGTGTGTCTTCAAATTGTTTCTAACTTACTGAGACACTGAAAAATGTGATTTGTCCAAATTCACCCAGTGGATTTCCAATTGTGATCCAAACTTCAAGTGATAGTTCAATGTTCAACGTATGCTGGGTCATCCTCAGTTAAATATGTGCATATCTGAACATCTTACTTTTCCAGCTTCCATGTTCAGACCATGTTCATTTCAATTTTTTAATTTTTAAATGAATAAGAATCACTAATTTCTTTGATTATTTTTCACATGTACATATTTTTAAAACAGCCAGAGCAGATACTTCTAATTTTCAGAGTCAAAGGCCAACCAAAATAAGCGTATGAGTTGCCTGTTGAAAATTCAGAAGGGATGAAGGAGTTCCACCATCAGGGTAGAACTGATAAAGTCCTTCTGTCCATGCCTACCAACCTAAACCTAGGAGTTATTGGGGCATAAAATGAAAGATTCTACTGTGGGCCTTTAATTTTGCATAGATTTGCACATATTCCTTGAACATATTCCTCCATTACTTAAACCACATATAAGCAGTATTTTCAGGAAGTTGAAATGTATACATTCTTTCTTCCAGCTGTCCATCAACACAATAATTCCTGAATGCAAATTCTGTTCATCCCCAGAAATTACAGGAACTATGGATTATAGGTACATCTATGATGTAGAATTACATTGTAGATGTAGAAGACCTTATCACATTGAGGGATTCACCACACACTGTGAGGTTCTGGTGGGGTGTGTGGACAATTGTCACCCCACGCATGGCATCTCCCAACTTACCACCAGCCCCAACCCACAGGGGGAAGCATCCATCACCTGGCTTCCCCTACACAAGAGGCTTCTTGTGTTGCTGCAGTGGTGGCATACCTTGTTTTCTCTCCTCTTTTGCCACAGAACCCAGTCAGAAGTAGATGTGTGTCGTGTAATGGGCTTCGTGGTGAAAGGGGAGAGCAAGTGGCACATGACAGGCAAATTGCCCTGGCTAATGAGGTTAGTGCAATTTGAAACCACTTAAGCTGGCATGGCTCAATGCTATGGGATCCTGGGATTTGTAGTGTGGTGACGGATCAGCATTATTTTTGCAGAGAAGGCTAAAGACTTCAACCCCTATGATTCCATAGCATTGAGCATTAATTCTATAATTAATTAATTCCATAATGTAGTACACCCCACAGAGGGTTCCTCAAACTACGGACTGCATAGAATCCTGAAGAATCACAGTGTTCAGAGTTCCAAATGATGGGAACTATATTTTCCAGCTCAGCTCTAGAAAAGACAGTAAATTACATGATGAAAGTAGAGCTGTGCATATTCCCTTAATGGGGCTAAATAATTTAAATAGCAGAATTCTTGCTATTTCAATGCAAAACTGAATTATTCCACTGACCCAATTTAAAAAATAATAATTATGCACATCACAAACATGTCTACTCTAGGGATTTCTTCTGAAATGCAATGAATATGATTGTTTCCAATTGGTCAATTCAGATTATCAGAGCAAACCTCATGATACAGTAGCACTTTATACAATGCTTTAAAGTATTTATCTGTTATGCTGGACCACAGCACAAACTTGTTAGGTTATCTACAGGACCAACATGTTGGATGCAATTAATCATCTACTTTGTTTAGCTTCTGAACAATGCTTTAGTTGTCTATATTTCCAGGTTGCTTATTTATAAACTACTTTGAATGGACTTTATACAGGACAACAGCTCAAACAATTTAATACAAATTTAAGACTGAACAAACTTGCAGGCATTGTAGCAAACTTTGGTTTTTGGGGAACTGGGTGTTTCACATACAAATGGATACATTTTTTTATTTGGAGGAATTACTACTTAGACTTTTGTTTCCTTCAAATCATAAACAAAATCCATATCCTCAGCTAGACAATAACTGGTAAATGTCCTAATTCACTATAATATCCAGGTAACATTGCTCAATCAAAATATCTGGTATATTCTACATTAATAGCAGCTCTGAATTACTATGTCCTTGTATTTTGAAATAACCCCAATGAGAATTGTCCTTCTTCAAACTGTAATGGAGATTCTTGTGGGTTTTTTCGGGCTATAGAGCCATGTTCTAGAGGCATTTCTCCTGACGTTTCGCCTGCATCTATGGCAAGCATCCTCAGAGGTTGAGAAGGTCTGTTGGAAGTAGGAAAAATGGGTTTATATATCTGTGGAATGGCTGGGGTGGGGCAAGGAGCTCTTCCCTGCTGCAGCTCCTTGCCCCACCCCAGCCATTCCACAGATATATAAACCCATTTTTCCTACTTCCAACAGACCTTCTCAACCTCTGAGGATGCTTGCCATAGATGCAGGCGAAACGTCAGGAGAAATGCCTCTAGAACATGGCTCTATAGCCTGAAAAAACCCACAAGAACCTAGTGATTCCAGCCATGAAAGCCTTCGACAATGTAATGGAGATGTTCCTTATGGTTATTTTGAACTAAATTGTGCAAACACACAGGGAATAATATCAGTTGTTGTTCCAGACACCTATTTATTTTAAGTACATAGCATACAACTTTGTCGCCCTGCTACAAT